CATTTCGGCACACCCCTCACGAAGATCGTGGCCCCATACGGAGCTCCACCGAAGGCGCCAGTGGCAGGGTCCGCATGGCGGCTCGGGCCATTTCGGCACACCCCTCACGAGGATCGTGGCCCCATAGGGAGCTCCACCGAAGGCTCCAGCGGCTGCGTTCGCATGGCGGCCTCGGGCCATGTCGGCACACCCCTCACGAGGATCGTGGCCCCATAGGGAGCTCCACCGAAGGCCCCAGTGGCAGCCTCCCTTATGGCTCTTAGAGCCCTCTCCTGCTTCTGCTCCTGGGTCTGGGGGGCGCCGTCCTCGTCGTCGTCGGCGCCCGCGAAGTCGGCCACGAACGTGTCCCTGAGCATGTCGGGCTCCGGCGGGAAGTGGTGGCCACATCGGGAGCGCGGGCGAAGATGTTATTCACAATTGCGGTAGTCACAACTGTGTATGGTTGGGTCTTTCGCCAAGCTAATTTAACCGGTTTTAGACATTACCAGAAATGACGTTCTGGAAGGATTCAGGATTAGGCGGGCGCAAAAGTTACGTTGATTCTCTGTGTCCAAGCCCCAAGAATGGCGTTCTGGCGCGATTCAGGAACGTCAGGACGCAACAGTCAGGTTGACCCGTGGCGTTGGAATCCCGAGAACCATGTTTTGGCATGATTCAGGGTCTTCAAACGTTTGTCTTCCAACGAGGCAGTTCCCGTAATGGAAATTAACAGTTGTAGGGGCCTATGAAGAGAGAGCATGGAGAGAGGGTTTACTCCAGCATCGTTGATGACTCTTGGGTTTGCACTTGTCCTCCTCCTCCTCCTCCTCCTCTTCCTCCTGCTCCTCCTCCTCTTCCTCCTCCTCCTCCTCCTCCTCCTCCTGCTCCTCCTCCTCTTCCTCCTCCTCCTGTTTCCTTCCTCCTGATCCCCTCCTCTCCTTCTCCTACTCCTCTACGTCCTCCTACTCCTCCTTCATCCTCCTCCTCCCCCCTCCTCCTCCTCCTCCTCCTCCTCCTCCTTCTCCTCCTCCTCCTCTTCGTAATACCAACCTCCATAGCGTCTACGCCGCGAGCGAGCCCGGAGCGTGCGCTGGCGCCGCGCGCGAGCGCACGCATCCGGGGAGAACGCAGAAGGAACCTGTGAGGGAGGACAGCGAAGATGTGATGAGATGAGATGAAATGAAATGAGATGAGAAGAGATGAGACCAGTCGCGAAGCGAGTCTATACATACATTGCTTACCCCGAGCCGCCTTCCCAGCCTTGCTGAGAACTTTGGGCCCTAGGTCTCGGGAAACACGGTCCACATACACCCGCCGAGAGGGAGGACAGCGAAGCAGACGGGTCCCGAGGGAGACGGCCACTGGACCCCTGGGGCCCTCCACCAGGACCAGCTCCTCGTCTGGAGTCGCTTCCTGACCGCCCCGAGGCCTGGGGAGGGCCCGAGGGCTGCGAGTTCGGGGGGCACCCAGAACTGCCCACACCGCTGCGCACCAGTAATTGCTCCCCCAGGCTTTCTGAAGGGGCCCTGGGACACACAAATAAATACACACAAATAAACAGATTCCCCAAATTTTCACATATGTTCTGGGTTTTTGTCTTCCCCCCCCCCCTTCCCGTATTTTCCCATATCTTCTGGGGAATCGACGATTCATTGGTTCTGTGTGTTTTTTCCCCTCCTGACTTTCGTCTATCACCAGAGGGTTCGAGGAGGGTCCAGCCGCGGCACCGCGGCCCTCCCGAGGCCGAGCAGCGGCATCGGCATGCTTCCTCCTCCCACGGACAAAAAGGAGCCGCTGCCTCTAGGGGACAAAAAAACTACCTCGCTTTTGACCACCCTCGCTTCCAAGAGATACCAAGCGATGCCAAACTACGGCCTGTACTGGTCAGGCCGCTTGACGAGGAGGCGCGTGGTATGACTTGGTTTTGCCTGGAAGCGAAAGCGGGGTAGGTAATTCACGCTCTGAGCCTCACGGACCCGCCTGCCTCACCCTGAGATCCGACGTAGCGAACAAAAATGCAACATCGTAGCAAATCGCGCCCAGAACCCTAGACCTTGGGGCCCTCTTGGGAGGCCTCTTGGGGCATCTTGGAGGCCTCTCGGGCTGTCTGGGGGCCGTCTTGAGCGCCTTGGAGCGATCGTTCCATCTTGGGAGTCACTTGGGGCTCCCTCTCGGCCCGTCTTGCGGCCCTCCAGGGCCCGAAGAAGTCACGCGGGGAGACACGCGGGGACTGAGACGCCAGGACCTCGGGGCACGGCGAGAGGAGGGGAGGCCCGAGGGAGGCCGGCCGGCGCCTCAGGCCTCGTCCGCCGGTGCGGCATAGCCCGGCCAGCCGAGCTGCTCGCCGAGGAACAAAAAGCGGCACCAGCGTACACTTTCTCGGCGGTCCGCGCGGATCTCCTGGATCTGAGCTGGGACCGCCCCCCTGGCGCGCGGCGCCGCCGGGGGGTCCGAGCGCAGATCCAAGAGATCCGCGCGGACCGCCAAACGCATGTTGCTCCCATCGTATTTCAGGATCGCACCCCAGAAGTAATTTCGAGCACCCAGGAAAGCAGCATCGAAACAGTGTCGAGCGAGTATCGCCTCCCAGGGCCCGACACGTGACAACCCTCCAGTCTCGGCACTCTCTACTACTCCTGGTAATCAAGGCTAAAGTAGGTTGGAACATCATAACTGGGGAAACCACAAGGTACCAATACCGCTACTCCCCAGACCTCTCCCAGTGTGCGTTCTGACAAGAATGTCGAGGCGATTCCAGCGGTGGTGACGAGGGCCTCCCAGGAGGCCCAAAACGGGGGAAAACGAGGGAGGGGCTCTGAATAACGCCAACAGTTTATGCTTGTGCAGCTGTTTGTTCTTCGAGCTTAAGCTCAGGGGGCATCGCCTCTCAGGAGAGACAAGTTTACTATCACCACCAGCTAGGGGGCTGACCGCTCCCTCCCCTCGAGCTGGTGGCACCTCCTTCCGTGAACTCTCTGGAAACACACCCGGAACGAGGTGCCGCCAGCTCGAGAGGGTCGGACAGCCACCCCCCAACCCTGACCTTCCAGAGTGCTGAAAAAGAAAAAAACAACGGAGGACGTCGACATCCTGGTGCTATTTTCAAGCCCTCGTGGAAGGTCAGGGAAGTTGGTGGTAGTGCGAAAAAGAAAACGCCATAAACATAAACTTTTGGCGCTCAGTGCGGATTTCTTGGATCCGCGCTGGATCCCCCTCCCTGGCGCGCGGAGCGCGCCAGAGGCGGCGCCAGAGGCGCCGCCAGGGGGGGCCCAGCGCGGACCCGAGAAAATCCGCGCGGAGCGCCAAAAGTTCATGATTATGGCGTTTTTTCTTTTCGAGCTACATTTGTCTCTAGTGAGCCCTCGAAGATCCTCGCGATCCTGCTCTCCAGCGCCTCCGCCGCCCTGCCGGCCCGGCGGCCGCGAGCAGCCTCGCCCTGCTTCTCCTTGCGGGGGGAGGTTGAGGCAGGAGGAGGAGGAGGGGGGAGGAGGTAGGAGGAGGAGGAGGAGGAGGAGGAGAGGAGGGGGAGGAGGAGGAGGAGGAGGAGGAGGATGGAGGAGGAGAGGGAGGAGGAGGAGGAGGAGGAGGAGGAGGAGGCAGGAGGAGGAGGAGGAGGAGGGGGAGGAGGAGCAGGAGGAGAAAGAGGAGAAGGAGGAGGAGGAGGAGGAGCTGTGTGCCGGAACTGCCGGCGACACCTCGGCGACACCTCAGCGACACATGGATCCCTAGAGACCCGACGCCCCACACACACACACACACACACACACACACACACACACACACACACACACACACACACACACACACACACACACACACACACACACACACACACACAACACACACACAAATTTGAGCGGCGGGCTTTTGGTCGTCTTCGGCCTCCGGGGGGCCTCGCTGGGCCTCGGGAGCGTAAGAACACGACTCAGGATGAAAAAGCGGCCCCGAGGGAAGTGGTCCAGACCTCCAAGTCCCACGCATGGAAACAATTGAAGCGGCCGGATGTCTGGGTCAGATCGTGCGCAGCATCGCGCTGCATCGCCGATGCATCGGCGATGTGGCGAACAAGCCGCCGACCCGATCTACTACGAGGCCCCGTCTGGGCGTCCTCGATCCAGAGCCCCCGACGTCGCGTTTCTTTCACGACTTGGACCCCCAGAGGACTCGACACCCTCGAGACCTGGGACCAGCTTTTGCATTCCGAGTTTTCTGGCATATCCTGAAGCCGGCGAGGACCCCAGAGCCCGGAAATAGCGAAAAACCTTCCGTCCCTGAGATCCGACGTGGCGAACAAGGGTGCAACATAGTAAAAGTCACGCCGAGAGCCTCAAACCCCACGCTTCTGCGTCACTTTCCGAGCCGGATCGATCCGTGAGGTCCCTAGGGCCCGAAAACAAAGGCGCGACCGCCCGGCTCGAAAAAAATGGGACGCCAGGATGTCAGGGTCATGATGGGCCTGGTTTCCACCACCACCACCAGAAGTTGGAAAGGGAGGGGTCCTCCTCCTCCTCCTCCTCCTCCTCCTCCTCCTCTTCGTCGTCCTCCTCCTCCTCGTCCTCCTCCTTCCCCTCTTGCGAGTCGACGCTAACCGACGCTCGCCGACGCTCATCGGCGCTACGTCAACGCCACGCCGGCGCGACACGTGAGCGTTTTCTTATTCGGCGTTTCGACGTTGGGCGGAGGGGGGGGGGAGGGGGGGTCCTGGCTCTGGACCTCGGCATAGTGAGACTGTTTGCTCTGGAGCGTCCTATGGGGGAGGCTCCACCTGCTCGAAACAGGAGCAAAAAACAGCCAAGATCTACTCCAGGGGGGGGGAGGGGGGGGTGCGAGGGCCCACGCCGATCGGCAAAACAATGAGTAAGAAAACGATCACCATCGGCGCCAAGTCGGCGCTGCATCGGCCCTAATCGGCCTTGTCTCCTCGACTACCAAACAGTAGCGAACGCTGGTGCAGTCTAAGATCTAAGGCACGAAATCATATCAAGCTTATATATGAGTGGCCAATGAAGAAACATTTGTTCCGCCTCCGATCTCCTGCCTGGCAGCCTTCGACTTCCAGATATCCGCCTGAGTGAAGGGGTCCTGATTGGAGCCCATTCTTTCTTCATGCCTCGCGATATGACTAGCCCCGCCCCCCCCCCTACCCCCCCCTGGTGAGGTCCCGAGTCGCGCCGGCGCCGTCTCGGAATGTGCAACTCCTCAGTCTGCATTCCCCGGCGGCGCCAGCGCAATCGTGACGTGACGGGCCCCCTCCCCCCCCCCTCGTCACGCTCATCGCTCTCGTTATCGCTAGGGGTTGACTTGAGGCGGCGGGGGGGTCGACCCCCACCGCCTCCCATTATCTGGAGCTCCAGATCCGGGGCTGGAGAAGCCTAAAGGAGATGGATCACGAAGGGAGAATGGAGCCAAGTCCGCTCCGAATCGGTCCCTGGACCCCTCCTGTGGGTCAGAACTGACAAAATTGTTCGAGCCGCATCCCTGCTGGCCAAAACCACCTCAGCCCCGCAGGCGGCTCCAAGGTCCTGAAGCTTTCCTGGACGGCTTGTTAGCTGCGTCGGGACACTCATCTGGTTGTTGTTCTCGTACAGGTACACGGCGGTCACGTGCTCTAAGGCCTGCAGGTCCTCGCGGCTCACCCAGCTGATGCAGTCCGTCGGGCAGGCCTCGATGGCCCAGTGGATCTCGACCTCTGCATCGCCCCACTGGTTGTAGGCCAACGCCTTCCCGTGCACGCTACTCATCATGAACGTCTTGGGGGCCGCGGAGAAGCACTGGAGCGCATTTGTTAACTCGCTGCCACACGGGGCGCTATGGGGGGGGAGGGGGGCGAACGGGAGGGGGCATAACACGCTGATGGGGGGGAGCGTCACGACATGGGGGGGGCGGGAGGGGGGGGGGAGGGGGGGCACAACGCACGGCATGCCCCAGAGGGTAACAGAAAAGCTCTCCTGGTAGCACCCGACGCAGTTGAAGGGGTTCACGTACACGTACTTCTGCTGCTTCCACATCGCGCCCCGGTCCTGTGGAGGCCGCGGGGTTCGAGAAGGCCCGGGGTCGGAGCATCGCGCCACATCGCCGATGCATCGGCGATGCATCGGTGACATCCATGAAGGGTGGGAAGCGGGCACCAGCACCAAAGCAGGGGTTCGCCTCCATCAGGGAAAGATGATCCTACATTTGGGTATTGGTGGTAATATTTCGATCATCTAGCAGGCCCGAATAAATATTAGCACCATCACTCACGTCGGGATCATCTTGCCTCGGTGGAGGCACACCGCCGATATTGGTGATGGTATCAACCTGCAAACCTCCGACATCTGCGTGGACAAACAATCGGGCTCCACATCGCGCCGCATCGTCCGTAAATCGGCGATGCGTTTGGGCAGCCCAGACGGGGCAAACCAAAGAGGGCACTGATGGCGCTACTTCCTGGAACTCCTCTGGCGCGTTCTGACCAGGCCGCCGAGGCGAATCCGAATGTGGCGACGAGGGACGCGTAGCTGTACTGGTCTTTTCGTCAAGTGGTGGATCCTCCTCTGGAAGCTTGTCGTAGCGAGACATCGACCTCGGGGTGCCCCTCCACTCCGGCTTGCTATTGAGTGGGTCGCGCGACCGCTTCCACGTCGGGCCGAGGTCGGTTGAGACCTCGGCCTTCGGGCCGGAGTGCCCTCGCTCAGACAGCGTTCCGTCGTACACGCACCTCTCGTCGGGGAAGCCCAGGACCCCGTATGCGTCGTTCAGCAGCATCATGAGCTCGCTGCTCTCTTCGCCGGCGACGTCTGGGTGGCTGATCTTCAGCAGGGACCGGTATGCGTCCTTGATCTCGTCCTGTCTGGCCTTCGGGAGGGCAATCTGTGAATCCCACCAGCCCTTCGGGCTAAGGTGGTCTAACGATATCACTCCTTCCTCTTTGAAGAACCCTCTTCCCTTCGGGGAGCTGTACCCTCCCCTCTCCTCCCTGAGGTTTTTTGGGGGGGCGGGCCGCGAGGTGTTAGGAGGTCATGTTTTGCCCAAGATGCCTCCAGGAGGGCCTCTTTTGCTTCAAGATGGCCTCCAAAACGGCTCAAGATAGCCAGAGATGCTTTAAGATAGCTTCCGACATGCCTCCAAGAGGCCCGACGAGGGCCGCAAGACGGCTCCAGGTGCTCTCGAAGCCCCCGTCAAGACCCCCCCGAAAGGTTAACCCTTCAAACGTCGAGAGGAACTCAATGATATTTGCCGCTTTCTCGCCTTTTGACTTCCGATGCGCTGTATAGACCTGCAGATGGCCCAAACATTGCCCAAGAGAGCCCCAAGATGGGCCAAGAGGCCCCCAAGACGGCCCAAAGAGAACCCAAGATCGCCTCAAGAGGGCCCCAAGCGGCGATTCCGAGGGCGACAGAGGGGGGACCAAGCGTTAAGCCCGCTTCTCTTTACCGACGCCCTCCACGGTGTTTCCAAGAGGCCATCCACAGCTCCCAAGAGGCCCCCACCCCCAAGGCAGCCCCTAGAGGGCCCCGAGACACCCTCAAAGAGCTCCAAGAGGACACCAAGGTCCCCCACAAGAGCCCCAAGAGGGCTCCAAGAGGCGATTTTGACGGCTCTGTCCTCGTCCTTGTTGTCCTCCTCCTCCTCCTCCTCCTCCTCCTCCTCCTCCTCCTCCTCCTCCTCCTCCTCCTCTTCGTCATTAGACAAGCGCGTTCCACTACTCGCAAAGTAAGTACACGCAAATGTGGCACGCACTCGGTGAGTCATCGTCATTGCGCTCATCGTCTTCTTTTCCTTTTCCTCTTCCTCGTCCTCGTGGTCGCCGTCGTGGTCGTCGTCCTCCTCCTCCTCCTCCTACTCCTCTTCCCCTGGCACCAGCGCGGGCCCCAAGGATGGCCAGAAGAGGCCCTCCAAGGCCACCCCCTTGCTCCAGAGATCTCTCTGTTCACCCTGGCTGCCACCTTTGTTTCACTGTATATGTCTCTTCGTTTCTTTCCCCGTCAGCTCTCATGGGTTAGGTTCCTGAATTGGCCTGGTGGGGATACTCGACGCGTGAAGTTGATACCACTGCCTCCCCGGAGCTCTCACGGGGGGCCTTCTGACCCTTCGCGGGCGAAGCACAGCTTGAAATAAACTGTTCCTCCATCGTGGACGCCTGCCTTGGCGCGACACCCCTCACGAGGATCGTGGCCTCCGAGGAGGGAGCCGAAATCGACTGCCTCCCCCTCCCGCCGCAAGAGGCCTCCCAGAGCCCCCTCAGAGGCCCCAGGGGCCCGCAAGACGCCGCCAAGGAGCCCCAAGAGGCCCCCAAGAGGCCCCCAAGAGCGCTCCAGGTCCGGCGGAAGGAGGAGCGAAGCGATTAAAGAAACTGTCCCTCCCTCGTGGACGCCGTGGCCCTCACGTGCCACCGTGGCAGCAAGGACTTTCCAGCTTCCCGGCCGCCTCGGGAGCCGGCGCCCCCGGGGACGGGAACGTCGGGGGGATGCACCGTGGCCGTGCCTCCTCCGCTCCAGGGTTAGGTCGGGCATGTCCCTCTTCAGGGGGACTTTGGACGAAACATCAGAAATATCCTACAAAAAATTACAAAAAATTCCAAAAGATTCCAGAAATCATGGAGAAGTCGTCCACAGACTACTTCTTGACTATCCTTGACTGTTCCTTCAGTAGAGGGACAGGCCCGACTTACCTCCAGGGCCAGGAGCTCGAGGCGGAGCCCAGGGCTGTGACGCACAGGGAGGGGCAGCGGCACCAGCGCGGGTTCCGGATCTCACGAGAAAAGGGAGGGACCTGCCTCGGGGAGCGGAAGCGCTGTAGATGCTGGGCCTTTTGCGTGGCGCTGCAGCCCTGGACACACACACACACAAGCCGCGCCCTGACGGCGCATAGGAAAGATCAGGCTGAACACACATGCGAACCTGCATGCACGAAGGCGTGACAAATCGCGACCGCTGAGCCAGCGCAGTGCCTCGGGGAGCTATCGTTGCACCCTTTGCTCCAGCGTAGTGCGAGGGACAGCTGGCACAGAAGATCGCGAGGGCTCTGGAACGGCGGGGATGGGAGGGGGCGATGGAGGAAAAGGGGGGATACAGAGAGAGAGAGAGAGGGAGAGGGAGAGGAAGAGGAGGTTTCCAGTCTCATGTGCAGGCCCAAGTGCCGACTCAGTTCTTTCCTGCTGACTCGAGGCGGGTCTGCTTCGAGCTGTCCTAGCAAAGGGGGGCGGGTTTGATCTTGATGTCCAGGGGTGCCCGGTGGGGCGGAGTCTGTTTCGATCAGTCTGGGAACTGCTGTAGGGTCTCAAGTGTCTTGGGTTCTCGTTCAACAGTTGACCCAGCGGGGGGGGGATCTGTCTCAATGTGGCGCGGAACGGGCTCCCGTTCCTGAGGGAGCAAGAAGAAGAGTGCCGAATGACACGCCGCGGTGGGGAACCCATCCGCGCGCTGGTGCCGCAGAAATACAATGCCTTCGGGCAGAAGACAAAAAGCGTGTCACCGATCGACAGCGAGTCACTGATGCTCTCTTTTGAAGGGGCCCCAGGACACACAAATAAATACACACAAATAAAAATATTCCCCATATTTTCCCATATTTTCTGGGTTTCTGTCTTCCCCCCCACTTCCCATATTTTCTCATATTTTTTGGGGAATCGAGGATTAATTGTGTCTGTGTGTTTCTTTTCCTCCTGATCTTTCCCTTTCGCACGAGCGGCGCACCCCGCAGTTGCGGGATAGGAGTGACGAGGCGGCGGGGACGTCGGCAGTCTGCGAGGCTCGGAAGAGGCCCCCCGCAGGCGCCTCGTTCGTACAAATCGTACAAGCCAAGCTCGCCGCAGGCGCCGACGTGTGGGTGGATCGCGGGCGGGTCGCGGGCGGGTCGCGGGGAGGGTCGCCGACGTGGCCTGAGGGCCTCAGCGGGATCTCGTGGGGCAGTGTGGGATACAGAAAAGGGATGCAGAACTCGTGAACATCCTCGAACAGTCTGTCCGGGGTCAGCCTCAGAAGCCCTGAAGCATCTCGAAGAATCCAGATGCACCCTGACGAGTCTTGAGAAAACGTGAGAAGAAATCGCTGGGAGTCCAGATGCACCTGGAAGCCTGACGAGCCCTCTGGAAGTAGAGTAGCCGCGCTGCGGAGCGGGATCGCCAACGTAAACTACGACACATTTGGCTGCATTCGGATTCAGGCGCAATGCAGTCAGAGCCGAGTCGGAGCACCTGAAAAAAAGCCGACACGACTGGATGAGGGCAGGACGAGGAAACGCATTGGGAATGGGGTGGTAGTGGGCGCTAATCGACGTGGAGAGGGAGGGGCACAACCATAACTCATGGCATTTACGTAGCGCCCCGCAAATGCGGATAAGAGTGATGGGGGAGGTGGGGACGTCGGCAGCTTACGAGGCTCTGGAGAAGCCCGCCGCAGGCACCAAAGTTCCACAAGTTATACAACGAGCCGGCCGCAGGCGCAGATTGTTTCGTTGAACAGATGTGGGTCGGTCGCGGTCGGGTCGCGGGTGGGTCGCAAGTGGGTCGCGGGTGGTTCGCGGATGGATCGCGGACGTGCCGCTGTTTGGTCGCGGGTGGGTCGCGGGGTGGGTCGCGGGTTTAGAGGGCAGAAAATTCATCCCAGAAGAATCACCCCGTCACGCGAAGCCGTTTAGAAAACACACACACGGACATAATCGAACAGGGCAGGGTTGTTTAGTCAACGCCCAGGGCCGTATGAGAAAAAACAGCAACAGCATCAACAACAACCACAAACAACGCAACAAGCAGAACTCTCACCACGAATTCCTTATTCAGCCAAGCACCCAGGGACAATGAATGACCGTTGGCCCCCTCACTCTGACAAAAAGTAATTGAGTAAACGAGCACCTACGAATACATATTTACCCATTTACTATTACATTCCGGTTCCTCAGCGAATGCGAGGACGACGACGACGACGACGACGACGACGACGACGACGACGAGGGCGCGAACCACTTACGCAAGCGATGCCTCCACGCTAAACCCCCAGCAGCTCGCGAAGGTCGGAGGGCGACCCCGGCGCGAGGGGCCGAGGCGTCGAGCATCGAGCCTCGAGGAGCGAGTCTGATGCGCTTCGACCGGCGCGGGCGAGGCCTCCGCGCTCACCCCCCGGCAGCTCCTGGAGGCTGGAGGGCGCTGCCCGCGCGAGGGGTCGAGGGGTCGAGGCTCGAGGCTCGAGGCTCGAGGCTCCCCAGCACGAGGCTCGAGGCACGAGGCTCGAGGCTCGAGGTCGAGGCTCGAGGCTCGAGCGCTTCGACCATCGCGAGGATCGAGGCCTCCGCGCTCACCCCCAGCAGCTCGTAGAGGTTCGAGGGCGCCGCCCGCGCGAGGCCGCCGCGCGCCGCCGCCGCGCGCCGGGCGCCGCGCCCGCCGCGCGCGCGGCGGCGCGCGCGGAGGGCGCCCGCGAGGCAGGAGGCGCCCAGCGGCAGCGGCGGGGCCTGCTGGGGGGCTCTGTGGGCCGCGGAAGCGGCAGGGCCATTTTGAAGGGGCCCTGGGACACACAAATGAATACACACAAACAAAAAGATCCCCCATATTTCCCCCTATTTTCGGGGTTGTTGTCTTCCCCCCCACTTCCCATATTTTCCCATATTTTCCTGGGAGGCGACGGTTAATTGTGTCTGTGTGTTTCCTCCCCTCCTGACTGCGGGCCGCGGAAACGGCAGGGCCGTTTTGTCCACCGTTTCCAAAAAAGTGTCCCTTGGAAATGGAAACGGCCAAAAAAACACGGCCACAGGGGAAACGGCAACAAAAACGGCTCCAGGATGGGAAGCGGCCTCGGAACCGGCAACAAAAACTGCAACAAAAAGGGGTTGGCGGCGCCTCGCCATCGCTCGGACGGCCACGCGCAGGGAGGGGCCCGGGGTAAGAGCGGCCTGCGGTGCGCGGCTATTTGGGGGGCCGCGGGGGGACCACACGCGGGCGCGCGAGACGCTACTGCGTCACATCGCCGTCGGCGATCGGGGGGGGGGCCCAGCGGGCCCGCACGTCACTCTTCCGTCTGGTCGGCATTACAGGTGCATTCGAAGAAGAAACAACCACATAAACAAGAACTCTTGGCGCTCCGCGCGGATTTCTTGGATTCGCGCTGGACCCCCCCCCCCTGGCGCGCGGAGCGCGCCAGGGGCGGCGCCGGAGGCGCCGCCGTGGGGCCCAGAAACGGATCCAAGAATTCCGCGCGGAGCGCCAAAAGTTTATGTTTATGTTTGTGTTGTCTTCTTCTACGCATGGCTCCCCAAGCAGTGCTTGCACTGAAGGGGGTCCCAGCGAAGGCTTCGAGAGATCTCGCGAAAGGGCCTGGCCGATCTCGATGGGCGGCAGGGCGCCCAGGTCCCCGGATCGGGGGTTCCTAGGTTCCCGGTCGCTGGTTCCGGGCCGGCGGGCTGCGGGACTCCCGGGTTGCCGGGTTCCTGGGTTCCTGGTCAATCTCCTCATCGATCGGTCTCACCACCAATGTCACTACCCACCTCACAATCGACCTCACGATTGATCTCACAATCAATCTCACGATCGATCTCGATATCGATCTCACTATCGATCTCACTATACATCGCACGAGCGGTATCACGATCGATCTCAACCGATCTCACTGAACCGACTTCACTGTCGGTCTCACGATCGACCTTACTATCGTCATCACTTTCGATCCCACGATCGATCTCACTATCGATCTCAATATCCATCTCACGAATGTTCAAACAATCCACTGATTGGGGATTTCTCGCTGAATGATCCAGGATGCAACTTTAGTGCGCGCGTTTCTGGCTGAATGATCCAGGATCCTTCCTTGATGGTCCTCGCCGCGAAAAAAACACGCGTCCGAGCGATGCTGAAGCGCGCACCAGGGGGGGCAGAGGGAGGGGGGAAGTGAGGGGCAACGATATGGGGGGGTACAGGCATACGAAGGGAAACATCGACCTGGAATCGGCCATACATCGCCGATGGATCGGCGATAGGCTCTGATAGTGAATCCGCAGCAGGGGCAATAGAACCCCTATCGGCGATCAATGGGCAATTGGGGGTCGATGCATCCCGCCCTAATTATGCCTATCCCCCCCGATCGCTGCCCCTGTGGACAGTGTCTTCGAGGGAGGCCGCTTCTTGGCAAGAGGCCGCTTCTCAGAAGGGGGGTCTCTTTCCAAGCAACCGTCCCCCCCCAGCGACAACTCGGGAGCGGCCAAGAGGGGGGTGCCCAAGAGGGGGGGGTGCAAATCATGACCGGCGGCATGTGCGCGGCCCAGCGGGGGGCCCAGGGACGTAATGAAATAAGAAGAGGCGCCATGAGATCTGGAGAAATAGCATGGCCCACGCCATGATATCCACCTCCCCCTAGTCATCACCCCCCTCTTTTCCGGCCCCGAGCCTTAGAGGGAGGCCGCTTCTTGGCAAGAGGCCGCTTCTGAGAAGGGGTCTCTTTTTCCAAGCAACCGTCCCCCCCCCCAGCGACGACAGCGGGGCCTTAGGAGGGGGGGTGGAGGCCGGAACAACCGCATAAGCACAAACTGTCGGAGCTCCGCGCGCATGCCTTGGATCTGCGCTGAGGGACCCCTGGCGCGGCGTGCTCCGCGCGCCGCCCCTGGCGCGCGGCGCTCCGCGCGCCAAGGGGGGGATTGTCACGCGCAGGTCCCCGGAAGTCCGCGCGGAACTCCGAAGATGCGTGGTTGTGCAGTTGTTCTTCTTCGACCGGGAGGAGCAAAACAGGAGGTTGCGGCAACGCGGCAACGTCCTCATCATCACCATCACCGTCTCGAACATGATCAGAATCATCCTCATCAGCGCAACCGCCATCATCATCGTAAAGCAATCCTCATCATCAGATCATCCTCATTCTCTTCCCCATCCTCATTCTCCTCATCCTCATCCTCCTCGGAGCCTCAAACATCAGCATCACCACTCATCATCACTCATCTCCTCTTCCCCCTCATCACCATTATCATCATCATCATCTTTATCATCATAATCATAATCATCATCATCATCATCATCATCATCATCATCATCATCATCATCATCATCATTATCATCATCATCATCACCACCATCATCATTATCATCATCAGCAGCATCATCAGCATCATCATCATTAGCTCGATCATAATCCGCATCAGCATCAGCATCAGCATCATCATCGTCATCTGCATACTCATCATACTCCTCCTCATCATCATCCTCCTGCTCATGCGTATTCCTCATCCTCGCCCCCGATACACTCACATAATTCAAGCATCCAACACAGCCGAGGTGCACCTATGACGGCACGGCCCGCATTGCTCCAGGAAAGCCCCCAAGACGGCCCTGCGAAAAGCGTGCCACGCGCTACGGGTCTCCCAAGCCTCGATCTCCATCGCGTCACACATTCTGACCTCCGTGCTTCCTCGCGCCAAAGACCACCGAGAAAGCTGGGGTGGCACGGTGGCGGGACTTGCCGCAGGCAGCTGGAAAATTAAAGGTGGGACCACAAGTCGTAAGCACGCGAGCGGCCCAAGATCGCCGACCCACGTCCCTCGACGCCACGTGGGCCACAGCAGAAGCAACACGAACGGCAACGCTGGCTGAGGGTCGCACACCTGACATATCCCGAGGAGGGAAAACAGATCTTCCGCCGCCTGGAGCGCTGTTCCTCCCGCTGGGGAAAGACGGGGGGAAGGGGGGGTCCTCCGTCTCTCACCTCTGGGGCCGCATCGCTCTAGAACTGAAGTGTTTTTTCCCCCGCCGGGCCCCAGCTCCGGGCAAACAGACTATCCGGGACGAGGCACGCGACCCCGGGAAGTGATCTATAGAGCTCCTGGGACACCGTGTTGAAAAATCAAGACGTCGGATGTCTGGGGATCTCACGGAGCCCAAACAACCTATATATATATATATATGTATGTGTATATATATACATATATATATATATATACAGAACAACAACCAAAAACAAAAAAACAAACAACATCCCGAGCTCCGCGCGGACTTCTTGGACCTCCGCTGGGCACCCCCCCCTCGAGCGCGGAGCGCGCCAGGGGCGGCGCTGGAGCTCAGAGCTTCCAGGAGAGTCCGGCCGTGGTGACGAAGGCTCTCCGGGAGGAGCCGCCGCGTCGGCACCCCTACCTGAGATCTGGTGCTGCGAGCAGACCGGCAACGTCGCAGAGCGTGAGGACCCCATCCTTCTGCCGGGCTTTCGATGAAGGGGCCCCAGGACACACACAAATAAATACACACAGATAAAAGAACCCCCCATGTTTTCCCATGTTCTCTGGGTTCCTGTCTTCCCCCCCCCCCACTGCCCATATCTTCTCATATTTTCTGGGGGATCGACGAAGAATCGTGTCTGTGTGTGTTTTTTCCCTCCTGATTCGAGCCGGGTCGATCCTGACTACCTACCAGACCACCCCAACCCAACCCGAAGACCCGAATTTGACCCGAATTTCGGGTGGGGGGGGGGTACGGATACCATGTGTTTTTTCAACGTTCCCCGACCCCCCCCCCACTGGAAATCGAGGATAAATTTGGGCCTTCGGGTTGGGTTGGGGTGGTTTGGTGGGTGGTGAGATCCGCGACGGCCCCGGGGCCCGAGAGGCCGCGCGGCAGGCGCCGGGCGTGGCCGCCCAAGAAAGTGCCGAGCGCCGGGAGGTCGCGAAAGGGTTCTCTGCCCGCCGAGGGGGCCGCGGCGGCGCCTCGCCCGCCGCGCGCGGCGCCGCCCAGCGTGCGGCCTGGGGGGGGGGTCGTTAAAGGCTTAACGACTTCTGCCGTCCTTCGACTCGCGCTGGAGCGGCCGCGAAGTGCTCGAACTTTCCCTGGAGATCTCTGGATTTACCTGGATTTACCCAGATTTATCTAAATTTACCTGGATTTACCTCGATTTATCTGCATTTACCTGGGTTTATCTGGCTCGATTCTCACAAGTCGATTGGCGAAAAGTCGACAAGCCCTAAGGGAGGGGGGAGAAGGCACGGACACACGAGGGGCCTGCTTTCCACCACCACCGCCATGAGTTGGAGGGGGAAGGGGGTCCTCCTCCCCACTCTTCTTCCTCCTCCTCCTCCTCCTCCTCCTCCTCCTCCTCCTCCTCCTCCTCCTCCTCCTCCTCCTCCTCCTCCTCCTCCTCCTCCTCCTCCTCTTCCTCCTCATCCTTCACCTCCTTCCCCCTCTAACTTATGGTGGTGGTGGTGGAAAACAGGCCCACCAGACCCAAACATCGGGCGTCTCGATTTGTTCGAGACACGGCGTACCTGCCAGACCACCCCAACCCAACCTCAAGACCAGCATTTCGGGTGGGGGGGCGGGTTCCAGATGTGTGGTTCTCAATGTTCTCGAAGATCCCCCCACCGAAAAGAGGGCAAATTGTGGCCTTCGGGTTGGGTTGGGGTGGCTTGGTGGGC